AGTCCAAGACTGTCGCTTCTGAATGGGCTCCACTTGTGTGCATTTTCTTCATCAGCTCACTCCAAAGTGGGAAAGAGCCCAGAAGAGGTGACCATACTGTCACAGCCTGGTGGCCATCTGTTAGGGAGGCTTTGATTGTGCTTTTCCTGCATGACAGAGGGTTAGACTGGATGGCTCATGTGGTCTCTTCCAATACTATGATTCTAGACAGGCTTGCACTCTGCGGCACACACACAACTCTCTCAATTCATCATTCTCCACAATCTGCATCTGCCACACTCCACACCTCTTCCAAAGTAACTTTTTTTGTGTGTTAAACACAAAAGGCCAAAATGATCGGACAGGAAAAGAAAAACTGCCCCAAAGCAAGACTGCTCCTCTCCCCAGTTTGGACCCAAACTCCAAATCTGAGGTGCAATTTGTTTCTTATGACAGGTCAGTGGAAAAACAATGCATCCGCCCCTCTCTGTATTGCGGGTCTGGGCAAACTTTGGTCCTCCCTCCAGGTGTTTAGGACTTCAACTCCCACAATTCCTAACAGCCTATTGCCTTTTCCAACGCCTGCCACAAACTAGTAGTACCTGTCCTGATTTGCTCTTCAAGAACAGCCTTAACACCACGTTGGAAATAAATGAAAAATGCTTTAGTTCAGCAAACACAAGAGAACAGCACACACAGTTTGAAAATGCAAAAGAAAGCAAGGGAGTCTTAATGCAGACACAAAACTCAAGTCTCTGATAAGGTCCAAAATAAACAGCAGGCTTTCATCAGACAACGGGCAATGATCACTAAATCCTTGACTCAAAGCAGGTACAATTGGAGCGAAGGCATATGTCAGTCGTTTGTTACCAGCAAAAGGTAAACTGCTCCTGCTTCTGATTTATAGCCCTGCATTTCCTATCCAGGAGATGCTAGGGTGGCTCCCAATTACCTCGACGTTTCTAGCAGCTATTCTAGATGAACACCGTCTGTGCTGTTTCCTGTATGTTATTATTGTTATTGTTTATTGCTTATTGTGTATTTTTGTTTTTGAGTTTTTTTAATTTTATTTTAACTGTTTGTATTGATTATTTGTTATTTATTTATTTATTTGGTAGTTTTGTATAGCGGTCTTCTCACCTCCATTCGAGGGACTCGGGCCGATTTCCAACATCAATATTACATACTGTCATTAAAACATCGTATTTCTAAAGCACACTAAAACATTAAAACAATTAAAATGGCAAAAATACAATCATATGATTACAGTGGTCAGTCGTCATCAAAGTCATTATTCATTGTCATCCATCCATATCACAGGATCATGGCTCATTCGTCGAATGCCAATCCCCAAAGCCAGGTTTTCACCTGTTTCCTGAACATTAAGATCAAAGGGGCAGTTCTGATCTCCAGTGGAAGGGAGTTCCAGAGTCGAGGGGCCACCACCGAGAAGGCCCTGTCTGTCATCCCCACCAGCCACACCTGTGAGGCCGGTGGGATCGAGAGCAGGGCCCCTCCAGATGATCTTAGTAATCTTGATGGCTCATAGGGGAGGATACGTTCGGACAAGTAAATTGGGCCAGAGTCATTTAGGGCTTTATAGGTTAAGACCAGCACTTTGAATTGTTATTGCCTTTGTTTATTGATGTGCTGTGGGCTTGACCTCATGTAAGCCGCACCGAGTCCCTTGGGGAGATGGTAGCGGGGTACAAATAAAGTTTTATTATTATTATTATTATTATTATTATTATTATTATTATTATTATATTTATTCTTTTTCTGTTTTGTCGTCTATTACTTTGTGCGAACAAACCGTGAAGTCTACTTGTGTATATTGCAAAACACTAATCATTTAGGAAATTGTATAAATGTAAAGCACAATAAACACATTTTCATTAAAAATGTGGTAAACAGAAGAACAACAACAACAACAATGGCTGTAGGTAAAGAGGCCCATCAATGCAGGCAAGACAGAGCTCACGGACCGAGTCCTGAGGGTCAGGTCTGGGTCATGGTATGGAGTACATCTACACACTTGTTTATTATTTTTATTAATATTTTATTATTTTTCAATTATGATTTATACCCTGCTTTCCTCTCCACAAGGAGACTCAAAGTGAAGACGCGCATGCCAGCTATGTGCATTCCCAGGGACAACTGATCTCACCCCAGGACAGCGACCTTAATTGCATCCTGTATGGATCATAGTTAATTGCATCCCATGCAGAATTTAACAGTGCAATAAGTTAACACGGAGTAGGGCAATGACAACTGGAACGGCCTCAGACTATGATATTGGATGGTGTGATTTGAGATAAGTGGTTTTTAATGTTCAATATGTTTTTAGTGGAGGCTTTTTAACGTATCTGTATATTTTGCTGGATGTATGTCCGTGTGGCATCGAACTGTTGTCTATATATGTAAGCCGCTCTGAGTCCCCTATGGGGGTATAGACATGGTAAACGTATCTCCCCTTACAAACCATCGAGGACTTTAAGATCATTTCAGAAGGCCCTGCTCTCGGTCCTGCCTTTGTCTCAAGTACGGTTGGCAGGGACGAGAGATGGGGCCTTCTCAGTGGTGGCCCCTCGGCTATGGAACGCCCTCCCTAGGGAGATCAGATCTGCTCCCTCCCGCTTAATGTTTCGGAGGCAAGTTAAAACATGTTCGAGCAAGTGTTTACAAATGCAGAGTAGCTAATATAGGAAATCGAACGATTTGACAATGGAACTGGACACTGCTTGAGAATAAGGAGACGCTAATGATGTTGTTTTTATTGCTCTTGTGGTGTTTTATACAGTTTAATGTTTTAATCCGCCGGGAAGTTGCAGCCAATAGTGAAAGGACCAAGGCAGAGACATCTCCAGCTCATCCCTTGTTTGGGTATCAGCCAGCACGTCAACGACTTAAATTAAGAAATAGTTTTCTTAGATCTACAGAGACACTCGCTGAAACACCTCAGCAAGCGAGAGTCCAAAAGTGGCAGGCACAATCCCAGCACCTCAATCTGTGGGTGATACCAAATGAGAGACTCCCTCCTGGGCACACAGAGGACTGGGTGACTTGGAAGGTGCTGAACAGACTGCGCTCTGGCACCACGAGATGCAGAGCCAACCTCAAGAAATGGGGCCACAAAGTGGAATCCACGACATGCGAGTGCGGAGAAGAGCAAACCACTGACCACCTGCTGCAATGCATCCTGAGCCCTGCCACATGCACAAAGGAGGACCTCCTTGCGGCAACACCAGAGGCACTCCAAGGGGCCAGAGACTGGTCAAAGGACATTTAATCAACTACCAAGCTGGCAAATTTTGTGTTTTGTCTGTTTGTTTGCTTCGTTTAGTTAGAAAAGTAACATAAATAAATAAATGTGGAAAGCATCTGCAAACTGCATCGAGCCCAAACTAAAAGGTGAATCCCGTCACCATGACCTCAATGGAGAACATTCAGTTTCAGGTTCCAGAAACTGCGGTGGGGCCGAAAGGCTGGGACCAAACAGCTGACCAACAGCAGAACATGAAACTCCTTTGAGACGACTTCTCTCCGTAACGGTTCCATTCCCTGGCAGAAGTCAAACTGAGGATCATTCTCTATGAACCCATACTATTCAGAAAGAGTGTCTCCTCTGCAAAAGCCGCGACCCAGGCTTAGAGGGCCTTGGTGGGTCCCAAGCTACGCCTCAGTCCCAACACCATCACCTGCTTGGCGGATTCAGGTTGAAACCAGGTTTCTGGGGGAAAGATCACTTGCAAGCTCCATATTCTGGGCAATCATGGGGTCTGTTTTGGGGTTCTGGGTCTCAATAGCACATAGTCCCAGGAATCCACAAAAAAAAGATCTGAATTTGCCATATAACACATGTATTTTAAAGTCACAATATGTCATAGATTCCTAGAGTTGGAAGAGACCTCATGGGCCATCCAGTCCAACCCCATTCTGTCAAGAAGCAGGGAAACTGCCTTCAAAGCACCCCCGACAGATAGCAATCCAGCCTCTGCTTCAAAGCCTCCAAAGAAGGAGCCTCCACCACACTCCGGAGCAGAGAGTTCCACTGCTGAACACAGAATCCTAGAGTTGGAAGAGACCTCATGGACCATCTAGTCCAACCCCATTCTGCCAAGAAGCAGGAACATTGCATTCAAAGCACCCCCGACAGATAGCCATCCAGTCTCTGCTTCAAAGCCTCCAAAGAAGGAGCCTCCACCACACTCTGGGGCAGAGAGTTCCACTGCTGAACATAGAATCCTAGAGTTGGAAGAGACCTCATAGGCCATCCAGTCTAAACCCATTCCGCCAAGAAGCAGGAACATTGCATTCAAAGCACCCCCGACAGATAGCCATCCAGTCTCTGTTTAAAAGCTTCCAAAGAAGGAGCCTCCACCACACTCCCTCCGGGACAGAGAGTTCCACTGCTGAACATAGAATCCTAGAGTGGGAAGAGACCTCATAGGCCATCCAGTCTAAACCCATTCCGCCAAGAAGCAGGAACATTGCATTCAAAGCACCCCCGACAGACAGCCATCCAGTCTCTGTTTAAAAGCTTCCAAAGAAGAAGCCTCTACCACACTCCGAGGCAGAGAGTTCCACTGCTGAATGGCTCTCACAGTCAGGAAGTTCTTCATAATGTTCAGGTGGAATCTCCTTTCTTCTAGTTTGAAGCCATGGTTCATTTCTGTAGGGCTCGAGTCTTTGGGCCAGCCTCTTGGCTTCTTTCCAGCTGTCCAGGTATGCCCCTTGCTTCATCCCACCATCCACAGCCATTTGCTATTCAGAGCATAATTTTTGCAAAGGATCTGCCAAAAGCTGACCATATAATTGTGCTGGAGGAGAAAGGGATTCTTAGGGATGTGTCCTCCACTGTCCAAAAAAAAAAAATGCTGCTGGAACACATTGGCCATACAACCCAGAAACCTCACAACACCACAGTGATTCCGGCCATGAAAGCCTTCAACAATACATTGCCAAGAGCATCCAAATGGGTTCCACCGAAGACGAGCATGCATTTCAACCACGAGACTCACCGTCGGAGCGGGTCGAGTGACAGCTGACTCTCTGCCCCACTGCCCTTGGCCTCCGCCCTTCTCTTACCGCCGCCTTGCATCGTCCTTCCTCTCAACGGGGTCCAGGAGCAGCATGAGACCTCCAGTGCAGGGGACCCGATCCCTGCTCATCCGTCCATCCAAGAGGCAAGGAAGGGGTCAGAAGGGGGTCTGCGACACTCAAGGGCAAAGCCACCCAAAGCCCTTGAGAAAAGGAAGAGGCGAAGACCGGGTCCTTGCCCCCAGGAATCGCCACCCTTCCTTCCTTCCTTCCTTCCTCCTCCAGGCAAGGCTCCTGCCTGGCTATTCCTTGCAGGAGGGAGGAAGACAGGCAAGGAGAGAGGACAGATGACCCGCGGTCAAGGGACTCCGTGTGCCGAAAGGCTCTCGTTAGCTCTCCCTGGAATGTGCCGCCTCCAAGCAGAGCGGCCTGTCACTCAAACCCAGCAGGCAGATGTGAGACGGCCATGCACATGCTCCAGGGTCGGGTTTGTTTTCATGTCTGGGGCAGATCCGGATGTGCTCTTGACCGCTTGGTCGGCCTTCCTGGGCCTTTCCCTCCCTCCCTCCCTCCCAGGACTTCAGTCAGGCAAGGGCAAACCTCTGCCCGTGTTTTGGACGACAACTCCCACAAATGCCCAACTTAAGGTCAAGGATGCATAGATAGACAGATAGAAGCAACAAGTGGATACGCACCTTTTCGCCCTGTGCACACCACTTCTGGCCTCCAAGTACGCATGTACTCAAAGCTAATGTGCCATCTAGTCTAATGCGCACCTGAATTTTCAAAATCCTGACCCCCCCCCCCAAAAAAAAGCACCAGGATTGTGGCGCAGCTGGCTGAGTGTCAGCTGCTGACTGTTCAGCAGTGGAACTCTCTGCCCCGGAGTGTTGTGGAGGCTCCTTCTTTGGAAACTTTTAAGCAGAGGCTGGATGGCCATCTGTCAGGGGTGCTTTGAATGCAACTTTCCTGCTTCTTGGCAGAATGGGGTTGGACTGGATGATGTCCCACCAGGTCTCTTCCAACTCTAGGATTTTATGATTCTAGGGCAGAGAGAGGGAGTTCCACTGCTGCTCACTCTCTCTCTGTCAGGAAGTTCTTCCTCATGTTCAGGTGGAATCTCCTTCCTTTCCTGTATTTTGAAGCCATGGTTCCATTGCGTCCTAGTCTCCCGGGCAGCAGAAAGGAAGCCTGCTGCATCCTTCCTTCTTAATCCCTGGCCCTCATCCTGTCTCCTCTCAGCCTTCTCTTCTGCAGGCTAAACAAGCCCAGCTCTTTAAGCCGCTCCTCATGGGGCTTGTTCTCCAGACCTTTGATCCTGAGTCACCCTCCTATGGACACAAGTTCCATTCCTGAAGAGCTCTCACAGACAGGAAGTCATCCTGTGGCTGCAGGGGACCTTCATCAGTGTCAGCCTCGCCTTCACAGAGACAACAGCAACCCCCCTAAGGCAGAGCAGCTCCATGAGACCACAAAGGCACTTTGTCCAGAGCCTCCCGGGAATCTCTGCCTATGTCTCACTCTCTGCTCTCCCACAAGCAACCTTCAGGCGCATTGGAGGAGGCTCCCCAAGGGCCTCAAGGTCCAACTTCTGTCTGAATATGGACCATGTGCGAGGCATCACCTCCTTGTCCCTCGAGCTCATGTTTTTGAGCCAGTTGAAGTCGCGCAGGAATCCTGCCAACAGGACACGAGACAAACATCTGTGGCCGACTGTATTTACTCAAATCTAACGCACACCTTGTTTTGGCTAAATTACTTTTCCAAAATTAGGGCACACGTTAGATTTAGTCTTAGTGCTGAGCAATAGAGGAAGTTCCTTCACGAGCTGCACCTGGAGCTCCTCTTTGAGGGATGTCATCTCTAACATAATTGCCATAGACCAATGTTATGCGATCATGGCATTGAACCATGGCAGTTAAAGTGGATTGGTTCTACAACATGCATGCACCCAAGGTTTTCTTTGCCATTGCTGAAAGCTTTGGTGTTCCAACACAATTGTTTTCAAAGAAGGAATTCCAAGCAGGCAGCAACTCTAATGGCCAAATGACCAAGGGTGCACCTTTCGCTGCTCACAGTGAATCGGACTAGATGGCCCATGTGGCCTCTTCCAGCTCTATTAATCTAGGATACTAAATCCATTTTTTGGTTTCTGGTTCTTGGAAACTGGGGTGTGCAGTAGGCTCAAGTAAATACTGCTAATTTATACTCCCTAGCTGCCATTCCTTTGTCGATTTCTGCAATCTGGCCTTTCATTACTCAAAGGGGACAAACCCCGAAACCTCTTTCCATTGATACTTCCACCGAGTATTGTGTTCGGGGCTGGCCGGAGCATCGCCTGGCATCGTTTGCACAAGTGATTTTTCACCACGGAGTTCTAAGGAAGGATATGTGTCAGGTTTTACAGTGTATTGTAATGTAATATAGCTGAGTCATGCACTGCTAATAGGCTTCTATTGGGAATGCTGAGTCATGCATTAACTGTATATAGGGAATCATTTGGGGAATGTGTTCTGGCCTAGTCCAGGTGATTGTGAATGATGCAGTCCTGGATTTGAGTTAAGTCAATGAGTTGAGAACCAATCAGAGATTGCTATGTGTAAAGGTACAGAATTGTATATAAGGAAGTCATGTACAGTGTATTCTCTCTCCTTGTGCTGTGATGCTGTTCGTCGAAGGCTCTATGTAATTGATTAAAAGAACCTGTCTGCTAAGACAAGATATAACCGTGTGCTGTGGTAAGTTTGTAGTGTCATCTAGATTGGAGGGAAAAACAATAGTAAAACTGACAATGGCTGGGCATGTGCTCAAGTGTCTGTAAAGAGTTCCAGAGTGACTGCAGTTTGTGGGAACAGTTGACTGAAAATACTGTGCAGGAAGAAGCTACTGGAAAGCGCTGAAGTTGTGCAACTGATCTGCTGCTGAATTGTGAAATTAATCTCAACAATATGGGCACAAGAGAGCGATGCAGGGCTGGACCTGAGGTCCATCTAGTCCTGCCCTCTATTTATTCACAGGCCAACCAACCAATGACAGACACACTGCCTTGGACCCTACCGTAGGCAATGGACACATTTCTGCGGGAAACCTTACACTGGTATTGGTTCTCCCTACAGAGATAGTTGGATAGTTCTTAGTTCTCTCATATCCGCTTCCCGGGGAAGGTTGTGGTTCCCGCAGATGCCCGCTGCAATGGAAGCATTTGGTTGCGCTTTTAGTTGTTGTTCCTGACTCAGTGCCAATGCTGCCATTCAACACAAGGACTAGACAGCATGATTCCTGTGTAACTGCACATTACGCTGGATCTGGGCCAATATTAAGCCACCAGAGCCATTGACAGCCACATGTCATGAGACAGCCACTCAAAGGATTAACCCAATTTTAACTATATTGTTATCTGGTTGAAAACCCTTTCCACAAAGTCCAATACAGTAGAGTCTTGCTTATCCAACCTACAGTTAGCCAACGTTCTGTATGATCCAACGTAGTCTGCCTCAGATCCACAGCTGTTTTACTACATTGTGATGTTTGGGTGCAAAATTCGTAAATACAGTAACTACTATATAATGTTACCGTGTATTGAACTGCGTTTTTTGTCGATTTATTGTTAAACATGTTTTGGTGCTTAATTTGTAAAATCATAGCGTAATTTGGCATTTAATAGGCTTCTCCTTAATCCCTCCTCATTATTATCCAACATTTTCGCTTATCCAACGGTTCTGCCGACTCGTTTATGTTGGATATGTGAGGATTAATTTAGTTATGTATGTGTTTTCAATGTGCTTCTATGTAGTGCAAAGATGGATGCCACTGTGAATTGAAAATGCCATGCAGAAATGTTCATACTTTGAGGCTGTGATTAAGTCAACTTGAAAAAGTATGATAAGGTTTGTTCTTGCTGAGAGCAGAAGGGAGGTGCCAGTCTCAGAAAGAGAAGATAAGCAGATGTGAAGAAGCTTTCGGTTTTGACTAGTTCTTTGTTGTTCTTCCTGAATTGTAGCTTGCTGTAGAAAGACGTGTCTGTTGTATGTACTTAGTAAACTTAGTTTCTTTTGTAACTCAAAGCCTGCAGAGTCCTTATTTTGCAACTCAGAGTCTGCTTGATCTAGCATTCCTTCCGCTGGGTATTGTCAATCTCTGACAGGATAAACAAGACTCTAGTGTATTGGCAAGGGCATGACATCCAAGTTGCCAGCCAATGTGACGGCTTGTAGTTGTAAACACCGTAGCTTTAACAGCAGGCTGAATCAGGAAGCCCTTGTGTTTTATCTGCCCTGTATCCCCAGGCTCCGCCACACGGACCTCACTGAGCCCTGGGATGAGGAAGGAGGAGGAAAAGCACTTCCTTCTCTTCTCGGTCCACATCACATTTTGTTTGATAGCCTTCCCTCATCCCTGGCCTTCTCCATGCTGGTTCAACAGCCTCCCTTGCATGAGAAGCAAAGGTAGACGTTTTGGGGGAGGAGACTGAGAGGAGTGCATGCCCTCCAGCCTGCGTCCCATAAGCAGGTGGCAAACTTGTGGCTCGGTACCCAAATCTAACCCTGATGCCTGTATCCAAATCTGCACTGAGCCTGGTTCTGATGAATCAGCGCACTCCTCCCCTCGGGCAAATGAGCAGGCTGACAGGGCAGGTTCCATGTGCAAGTTGGAAGTCGAAGCATGAGCCTCGTGGAGAAAGACCACTTCACCCTCAGAGGTTCGGGCATGGGGAAGGTGCAACGCCACCCTGGTTCCTCTCTGCCCTGGCAGGTTTGGGAGGCTGCCTGACTGCTCCCAGGTCCCAGAAAGAAGAGTTAATACGCAAAGCTCTCGGTTCAAACAAGGAGTACTGCTTTATTAACAGCGAACACAGCAACAGCTGCCTCTTAACAGAACGAACGTGTCTGCACAGAACCCCCCCCCCCCCCAGGGTTAATCTTTGGCCCTCCTCTGGGTGTTTGGGAGTTCAGCTCACAGCTCCTTAAGTCCAAACACCTGGAGAGAAGGGCCAAAGATGAGCCATGCCTGATCCATAGGGCGGAGGCCACAGGGAAGGAGTGGCCCAACCAATGCTGGACCTTAGTCCAGGAGGGCAGTCTGGAGAGCGGCACTGAGGAAACCTCCGGATGCAAACCCAAGCATTCCCTGCTGCAGGAAGGCCAGGGTTTCCCCGAGGGACCCCTCTTCACTTGCGCTTGATGTGGAGGAAGTCCATCAGCGCCTGCTTCAGGTTCTCCAGGAAAAAATCGCACCCAGCGTTGGAGAGGTGCAACCCGCTCTGCTGGAAGAGATTGAGCCTCGAGGCCTTGATGTTGGAATGCGGGATGGAGGCCCCCCCAGCCGCCTCCACGGCCTTCCGCACGTCCTCGTTGATCTTGGCCCGGGCCCGGCGGAAGCGCTGCAGGTCCTCCCACGGGGGACACGACGGCTGGTCCAGGAGGAATGACCAAATGAGCCTGATGTCAGGCACCTTCTCCCTGATGCGGGCCAGGTCCTGCCTGATCCGCAAGCTGAGCGCCATGCTGGTCCACTTCCCC